ATTTCTATAATAATAAATTAATATCATAAGGCATTAGCAATACAATAATGTTTTATTTATATTTTTTTTATAAAAACTTTATTTATTGTATTATTATTTGATTACAGAAAATATTCAAACATTAAACAGAATGGTTGCAGCATCCGACATTCGCTTGATAAATATTCAACAAAGTATTGACAATATTACGCCAGGAGTATTACCAATTATTTCTACAGATCGAGTAACAAAGTACTTACCCTTGAAAACTATTAATGAAATTCTTCAAATGGAAGAAAAATTAAAAAATGAAGGAGAAATATTCATCAACGAATATAAAACTTTTGTTCGAAGAATTGGTGGTCATACTGCGCGTGAAATTATTAGAAATACAATGTCATAAGTTTTTACAAATGAATGTGCTTTGCCATGTTCGTGGAAGGGTCGTAAATAAAATTTTGGAGTTGCCTCTTTATGTATTATAAAACACATGAGAGAAGTAGTGTTAGATATGTACACAAATTACACTCAAAAAGAATTTGATGAAGCCGCAAGTGACTGGTTGCGTTTTGCTAAGCAGAGATTCACAAGAGAAATAAGGCAAAGAGAAACAAATGAGTAGACACGAATTAAGTAGTATTATATGCAAAAGTAAATTACCAAAGATAATGATCTTTTGAAAATATATAAGAATGTTATTTTTTATTATAAAGATTATATACAAATTCTGTTTTTTTTACAAATTTTTTAAAATTATGTGATTAGAATACTGATTTAATACATTAGTTTAATATTTAATAATATATCTGTTTAATATATATATACATATATATATATATATATATATATATATATATATATATAACCTCTGAAGTAGTGCAGCCTAATGCAGCCAGTTCAGCTATAAAGAACAGACCTTATGATTATATAATATACATTTAAAGTATGTTTACATACCTTTATAATATGTTCAATTAAGATTATAATTATGTTTCTAATAACATGTCTCACTTTTTATGAAAACGTATCCCTACAAAAAATATACAAAAATGTAAAAAAAATGTACAAAAAAAATTAAATAAAACATGTACATCTAAATATGCATAGAATGAATATTTATACTGAAAAACTCTTCATATATTTAATAATAAATAAATTTATAAATATTATATACATATAACATTATAATAATATAACAAAAATATAACTTTGATATGTAATCATTACATAATAAATGTTATATAACATGTTACATTTATGAGTGGGAAATAATTATGTTACGGTAACATATCAGTAACACTCATGCAACATTAATTGTAACAATCGGTTTTATAACATTAATACATAACATTTATATTATTTTTTATTATATTATTTTTATTATATTATTTATATTATTTATATTATTTACATTTATATTAATACGTAACATTTATATAACAGTGTTTTGCGGGTTGGGATAAGGATTTCTCCTATATATTTACTCATATTTAAAGTATGTTTTAAAATTTTTTATTAAAAAGTAATTATTAATAAGCGCAGTATAAAACATTGAATGTACTTATAAAAAAAAAGTTGGTCCACGGTTTACACGATTTTGGCTGTTCTGCTTATCTGAAACAAAAAGACCCAAAAGATTCTTAATTAATATGAATTTGGCTATCGCCCGTACCAGAATGAAAAAAATATTGAAAATTTAAAAATGACATTATTTAGAAAATCAAGTTTCGATTTTTTCCATTTTTTTCCTTCATTAAAAGGTTGTAAATATTAAAAAAAAAAAGATTTCGACTTGATTCTGGTAGGGACTATAACTACACATATCCTGAAGATGTGTGCATAAGCCTGATTCAATTGATCACCTGGTTTTTGAGATATCATGTGAACCAATTTGAAAAATATGGTTTCAAGAAAAACGTGTTTAAAGTTTTTCATACTAATTACATAGAGATAATTACTTACGATCAATCAGCTAGTTCAGGACCATACAAGGGACCTTCTTCCTGCTCATAAAAGTCCCCCTAAGCTGCTCTCTCTTCCCTGCGATTTATTTTTTCAACTCTAACGAAGTCAGTTGACCGCCGTTCCGAGCGGGTGATATGAGCTTCATTCCAAAAATTTGCGTACATTTACGCTTACTGGCCAATAATCACTCTCGTTACGTTTATAACTTTCAAAATTGCCATAAATCTTTCAATGAATATAATTGCCAGAAAAGTTGCTTTCAACAACTTTGCTCCAGAATGAAAGTGTTTTGGAGAACAAGTCCAAATCAATAAATTCAAAAAATTTCATTGTTATTTTGTGTTTCTACTCCTAAGCAATAATCCAGCAATTCACTAACCGAAATATAAATGCCGATACAATGCTATGTTGTGAGCCGTGTGACCCGAGCGCTGAGCGCACGCCGGAAATTGATCCCTATAAGGTGCTATAACTTTGTCAATTTTGTGAATCGGGCTAAATCTTCTTGCAGATATATTGTATAATTCCATATCAAAAATATCGATATTTATTTTAATATTAATAAATTAATATTAAAACAAATATCAATCAAATATTATAATAAATATTAATTTCCAGTTTTGATCATATGTTAATAAGAACGAAAATTATGTTAGCATTAAATATTCTTAAAACGATGTCATTTTACAACTGATTTCATTTCAAAATGATGTCATTTCATCTATTAGAAGTTAGCCCCCCACTTTTCGAATTAATAAATTTTAACGGTTGTGCTGAATTGTGCTAGGTTTGTGCTATATTGTGCTCGAATATTATAACCATAATATGAAAAATACGAAAGAAAATGAAGAAAAACGAATTTTTAGGTCAGCCCCCCACTTTTCGTTTTTTTCAATTTTTGCGATTGTGCTGAATTGTGCTAAGTTGTGCTAACATTGTGCTAAAATATTATTTAAAAAAAATAATAACAAAAAAAGTTACGATGAAAAAATCATTTTTAGATAACATTGATTTTTTTATCATAACTTTTTTTTTAATTATCCGCTGACGATAATATTGCATATCTGAATTGTGCTAGCCTAGCACAAGTCAGCACAACTTTCGGTTTCTCCAGCACAGCGATATCAAGGGCACTTTACTCTTGAGCGCGAGTCCTTGCGCTCGGATTCTATGTCCGTAATTCGGCTTTTCAATTGTCCGATGAAGATAATATTGCATATCTGAGTTGTGCTAGCCTAGCACAAGTCAGCACAACTGTCGATTTCTCCAGCACAGCGATATCAAGGGCACTTTACTCTTGAGCGCGAGTCCTTGCGCTCGGATTCTATGTCCGTAATTCGGCTTTTCAATTGTCCGATGAAGATAATATTGCATATCTGAGTTGTGCTAGCCTAGCACAAGTCAGCACAACTGTCGATTTCTCCAGCACAGCGATATCAAGGGCACTTTACTCTTGAGCGCGAGTCCTTGCGCTCGGATTCTATGTCCGTAATTCGGCTTTTCAATTGTCCGATGAAGATAATATTGCATATCTGAGTTGTGGTAGCCTAGCACAAGTCAGCACAACTTTCGGTTTCTCCAGCACAGCGATATCAAGGGCACTTTACTCTTGAGCGCGCTCAAATTTTATAATTCAGATTTGTATTAATCTAGTGTAATATTAATTACCTAAGACCTCTCTTTGTCATGCACTTATTGCATGCATATAAGCCGTTCTACCGCGACAAGGTGGAGATCATTAGAACGGTTTTTTTTTCTTTTTTAACTTTTTTTGTTTGTTTTGTGTTTTTAATTTTTTTTGTTTATTTTTTAAAATATTTTTTTATGCTGTTTAAAATTATAATTAAGAAATTTAGTATTTTAATGTAAAAGAAAAGCATATTTTAATATCTGAATATAAAATAAAAACATATTTTGATATCTAAAAGTTAAGTAAAACGTATAATATGAAACAAATAGGTTATTATTTTTCGTAGTTTACTATTTTTGTTTATTATTGTTTTTTTAGTAATTGTTCTCTCTATAATTTTGAAAGTGTTATGCTCGTTTTTAACTTTTAACTCTGCTTATAACTCTGCTTTTTAATGTATTTTTATGTATAAAGAAAGTACTGGATTTACAGTAGTATCTTCAGTGACAAATTGACATTTTTTTAATAAATCGTCGAAGAGAATCCAATTTTCTCCATACGAAGCGTAAGCTGAATAATGTCCAACCGATTTTATGTTGTGTCCACCGCTGTAATGTATAATGCCAATTAAGGAAAATGATGCGTTATCAAGTGTAAGAATTTTCGGAAAAGTTTTAATCGTTACTTCGACATTCTTGTCTGCAATACATTCAATTAACAAATGCGAATGATAATTTACCCTTAACTCTACATTTCCTTTACATTGTTTGCATTCTTTAAAATTATTTGTTGCATTATATTGAATTGCCTGAGCAATAGCATTGTACTATAATAAAAAAGCCGAATTACGGACATGGAATCCGAGCGCAAGGACTCGCGCTCAAGAGTAAAGTGCCCTTGATATCGCTGTGCTGGAGAAATCGACAGTTGTGCTGACTTGTGCTAGGCTAGCACAGCTCAGATATGCAATATTATCTTCATCGGACAATTGAAAAGCCGAATTACGGACATAGAATCCGAGCGCAAGGACTCGCGCTCAAGAGTAAAGTGCCCTTGATATCGCTGTGCTGGAGAAATCGACAGTTGTGCTGACTTGTGCTAGGCTAGCACAACTCAGATATGCAATATTATCTTCATCGGACAATTGAAAAGCCGAATTACGGACATGGAATCCGAGCGCAAGGACTCGCGCTCAAGAGTAAAGTGCCCTTGATATCGCTGTGCTGGAGAAACCGAAAGTTGTGCTGACTTGTGCTAGGCTAGCACAATTCAGATATGCAATATTATCGTCAGCGGATAATTAAAAAAAAAGTTATGATAAAAAAATCAATATTATCTAAAAATGATTTTTTCAAAAATGATTTTTTCAACTTTTTTTGTTATTATTTTTTTTAAATAATATTTTAGCACAATGTTAGCACAACTTAGCACAATTTAGCACAATCGCAAAAATTGAAAAAAACGAAAAGTGGGGGGCTGACCTAAAAATTCGTTTTTCTTCATTTTCTTTCGTATTTTTCATATTATGGTTATAATATTCGAGCACAATATAGCACAAACCTAGCACAATTCAGCACAACCGTTAAAATTTATTAATTCGAAAAGTGGGGGGCTAACTTCTAATAGATTGTCATTTCACAATTGAAAAAAGCTATTAAAGAAATAAGAACAGAATCAGTAAATAAATTAACCAATAAAATATCTGATTTTGCCATATAGCGGTTAATGGCAGACGTTTAATAATTGACTGAAACGTATTTACGATCATACCGGTAGTTTATATAAGTTGTGACGCGCGTGTCACGCGCTTTAATTGTGGCTTATTGTGGATTGTAGATAGTTGACTTTCTTTATTTTTTTATCAAACTTACCACGAGCAATACATGTCATATTATTTGTGAAAATACATTTGAAGTGAATCCGATCGTTTCATTTTTTTGTATGCGTTCAAATTATATCGTCTAAAGTTACGAATCAACAACATTGTATCTTTTCTTTGACTATATTGAGTGCATGTATACTTTACTCGCGAGGTAAGTACACAGAAAAAAATTAAGTGTCAAATTAACACTTATATACTTAAATTAACGTGTTCATTGTTTCCTATATACGCAAGAATTTATAATCTTCTTAGAAGAATTTAATAATCTTAAATTTTAACAATATTATAATCTTATTTCAATATTATAATTGTCTCAAGAATACAATATAATATTATTTTATAATACATTATACATTATAATATTATTTTGATAATAAAACATTTTCTTTTAACACTAGAAAAAGTTGTATTAAAAAGATGAAAGTTTTGTTTTGATCTTTTCTCTTTTTATATCAATTACATGTTAAACTTCTTTCAATAATATTAACGTATTCATTTAACTAAATAATGATGTTATTTGAAATATGTTAAAATGTTAGAGCAACATTTAATATTATATATTTAAGAGTACTGGTTTGTCAAATGAATATTTTTTTCTTTTCATTACAACACATACTATCTTTATCTAAACAAACCTAGAAAATATTCTTCTTTCAATAATTTAGTATTATATTTAACACTATTAGAACTTGAATCAATTTATTATATTATTTATTATAAAACAATTTTATTCTTGAATCAAGAAATGCTATACTTATTGTAAAATTGCATTAGCTTCAGAATAAGCAATTATTAAGGCATGCATAATTTAACGCATTCTCATATTCTTAAATTAAAAAGCTTTATATCAAATTCAGATTTATTTACGATTAAAAAACAAAACAAAATTAAAATTCATGTTAATTTTTTAAGTGAATTAAAAAATATATATTTTTGCGTGTATTATTTAGCCTTATTATTTTAACTTTTTTCTTGACATTCAATATAGAAGAAGAATAAGAAATAAATAATTGTTTATCAAGAAAAATGGCTGAACAATACATGCAGAAACATACATTTCAACTCAAATAAAATATTAATATCTCAAATTTTAATTTTATTTTGTTTTCAATTATAAATAATTCAGAAGTTGATACAAAAACTTTTTAATATAAGAATATGAAAATACATTAAGCATGCTTTAGTAATTTATTCTATTAAAAAAATTAATATCTCGAATTATAATTTTTACGTTTATTGAACAATGAATGTGAATTTGATACAACTCAGCAAACACATTTTATAACTATATTATAACGGTTACATAACTCAGTGTAACTGAATGTAACAAGTAATATTACAGGATTATAACATGTAATACTCTCATTCCTTGTAATTTCCCACTCAAGGAAGCAGCAGTGTTATATAATAGTTATACATTTAATTGTAACAGTTATATAATGTAATATTATTGTTACATTAAGAATATAACTGTAATAAAATTAAGATATAACATTATTGCTATTGGTTTGACATTTATATAATTATTATATAAATGTTACATCATAATTTTCAAATGTTTTTGAATATACGTGTAATATTTATATAACAGCTATATAAATATCAAATTAATAGCAATATTATGTTATATATTAATTTTGTTACAGTTATGTTTTTAATGTATCAATTTATATAATTGTTACAATTAAATGTACACACACACACACACACACACACACACACATCACACATCTCTCAAGAAAAAAAACCGTAATAACTTAACAATTTTATAAATTTCTTTTGTTGTAGAATCTGAATGTGAAAACATATTTCGATTTATTTTTATGATATCAATGTAGCTTCTCTGTGTATGTTTCAAAGAATGTAAATTTTATAAGAAAGTTATGTTGACATCGTGCACTATGTTTGCATTCATATTCTATACAACAAAAGAAATTTAAAAAATTGTTGAGTTATTACAATTTTTTCTTCTTGAGATGTGTGATATATATGTATATGCGCGCACACACACACGCGCATATATGCATTAAAACATATAACAATCTTTTATTATAATTACTTTTAAAATTTCGATACTATACAAAATGATGCACATATGTTAAGATTATTATAAATAAATCATTTAATTGGTTTATATATTAAACTTAATATATAATATTAATTTAATTTAATACATATCTTAAAATATAAAATTTTTTACATCTTTTATTATTTTCGAAGCTTGACAAGTAATTATAGTAAAAGATTGTATAGATAAAATATAGGTCGTAAATTATATTTGGATTTATAATTTTCGTAGACAAAATAAAAAACTTTTAAATACGTTATATTATTCTTATTATTATAATTATGATGAAAACAATTTTATGTGTGTACCTTAATGATGTGTCCACAAAAATATTATATCACAAAAATAATTATATATACATATATATAAATATAACGAATTTCTGAACAAATGTAACATACATATATAAACTTTCTATATATAAATATATATTAACTATATATATATATATATATATATACAGGGTGAGTCATTTTAAGTGACGGACTAAAATTTCTCGAAAACTATAGGAGATACAGAAAAATGTTTCAAACAAAAATTGTAGGGTGTGAAGGGGGATATAAGATGGTAGCATTGGTTTGACCTTGGAAAGTCATTTGAAGGTCACATAAAAGTCACCTTCAATTTCTTAAATTGAACCCACTATTTTTCATTACACATTCTTGTAGCTTATCTCGAGAGCTTTCCAAAACACTACAGACAAATGTTTTTTCATTAAATACTTTTTGAGTTATAAGGCTTCAAAGTTTACAGTACTTCGATATAAAATGCAAAATATCTCGTAAAATATTTAGTTTTCGGTAGTCTTACCCTAATACTTTTATGCACAGGATAATGAGACAAAATTTATTGGTGCAAAGAAAACGCATGATTGTTTATAACAAAAAGTGCATTGCAAATTACACATTTTTTATCACAAACAATCATACGTTTTCTTTGCACCAATAGTTTTGTCTCATTATCCTGTGCATAAAAGTATTAGGGTAAGACTACCGAAAACTAAATATTTTACGAGATATTTTGCATTTTATATCGAAGTACTGCAAACTTTGAAGCCTTATAACTCAAAAAGTATTTAATGAAAAAACATTTGTCTGTAGTGTTTTGGAAAGCTCTCGAGATAAGCTACAAGAATATGTAATGAAAAATAGTGGGTTCAATTTAAGAAATTGAAGGTGACTTTTATGTGACCTTCAAATGACTTTCCAAGGTCAAACCAATGCTACCATCTTATGTCCCCCTTCACACCCTACAATTTTTGTTTGAAACATTTTTCTGTATCTCCTATAGTTTTCGAGAAATTTTAGTCCGTCACTTAAAATGACTCACCCTGTATATATATATATATATATATATATATCTATATATATATATATATATATATATATATATATGCAGGGTGTCCCTGAACACTTTATTGTGCACTTGTTAAGGAGGTAGAGTTTGCTGGAAAGCATCGTATATTAGAAACACAGCGCTGCCATCCAGTCATCGGACCAAAAAAAAAATAAAATAGTGACTGCTTTTTGACAGAAACAGTAACAAAAAGTAACGTATAAAAATAATAACCAAACCGTATAAAAACCTTCACGTATAAAAATAATAACCAAAAATGACCATTTTTTATCAAATTTTTAAAATAATTAAGACTATCTAAGAAAACAAAAACTGGATCTATGCTTGAATAGCCTAACATAAAATTATAAATAGCACCATGTATTGTAATAATCTGTAGATATACAGATTATTACAGATTATTTTTTTTTCTTCCCGCGTTGCTCGTTGCTTAGCAAATCGGAATCATTTCGCAGCGGTTATGTCAAATTCGGCTTCAGTTAAACCTGAATGTACAGAACATATGGTATCTGTAAAATAAGTTAAAATTTAATTAACAATATTAATGTGTGTGCGCGCATATAAAAGAAAAATCACTTTAATAATTAAATAATATCTATTAGAATAAAAAAATGTTTGTGTAATCTAAAAACCCTGAATTTAAGAAAATAGTTAAATATAATTTTAAAATATTCACCAGGTATATTCTTAATAAATATTAAATCACATATTTTATAATTTAATCGAACGCCTTTCCAGGAACAGTTCATAGCGCATTTATTGCTGATAATTCGTTCTAAAGCATAATGAATGCTATTTCGTGGAGCGTTGCCTCCAATTTTTAGAATCAATTTTTTCTGAAATTAACAATACGTTTATGTAAATAATAAACAATAAAGACAATATCATATCAATATATTAAATTCAGAAGGAAGTAGTTTGATATTTATTGAAAAGTGTATAAAGTGTTTGAAAGATTATAAGAATGGTTCTATATAAAAAATGAAAGTTCTCTATAGAAAAAGAATTTAAATTACTTCTCTTTATTACTGTTTACTTCATTTTTCTCAAAAAGTAAACCGATTCTTATTCCATGGATAACTGCATTCACTGCAAAAAATTTAATGATTCTATAACTCAATCTGTATTCATTTTTCTATATGGAACTTTTTTGGTATAAAAATGAAGTAAATGATAGACTATTTACTTCATTTTAATATTAATAATATAGATCTCCATACAGATTTGGAAATAGTTGCAAATAAAAAATAACTTACAAATTGCGATGCAGCAACTTCGTTTGATATGATAAAATTTTCGAATTCTTTTATGGATTCCACTAATTTGTAGTGGCAATAATGGTATTATCATTACCATATCATTTTCTATCAATTCTGCATTATTACATTGACGGGATTCCAATTTACTTAATCTTTTCGAGATATTCATTAGCTCTAAATTGGTAGTAACATTTGCACGTATAACTTTATTTAAATCTGCTGCAATTAAAAAGAAACATATAGCACGTATACATATATTTTTATATATAATTATGCAAACATTATTTATAGTTGACGCGCGCGCGCGCGCACACACACACCACACACAAAGCTTAACATTTATTCGAAACTTTATGCATATAATATAGGTAAATAATTTACTTTCTATCCGTTATAGAATATTGTAAACAGCTTGTACTTTTGGAATTTCAAAAATAGGAATACTGTCAATATCCATTGTAACAGACGATGAGGACTTATCAGGATATGGAGTTTTTTGAATTGCTCTTTCATTAGAACTACATTTGTTGATATCTGCAAATTACAATTGTCTGTTTTAATATGTTTCTACACTTATATTATTGAAGTTGTAAGGTATAAACTTACTTGTGTGTGATGATGAAATCTCAGTATCGGTATTTTTGGAAACAAAATTTAAATTTTTATCGGTACTGAAAGCATTGACAGATTGGCAGCAATTATCTATTTTCTGAGAATTGTATTCAGGCATAGGATTAATAAAAACAGGCGGACGACTAATACCTGCAAACAAAGTAAAATAACAATAAGAAAAATAACAAAAATTAAATAAGCATCTCAAATATTCAGTATATACAGTATTATATAAATTTGAAATTCAAAGTAATTGTCAAAACTTACTATGTTTCAAATATTTAATTGTTTTTTTTTTATGTATTTTTTTCATTATCGTAATTTTCTTTATCACACACATTTCTTTCTTCATCATTCGAATCATCAGTATAATCCTTTTCATCGTGCTCCTGAGAAAAATAGTATTCATTTTTCTTTAACTTTCTTTGCCCTCGGCCACATTTTTTATCGTCAGTCGTAGTATAATGAGCATCTGCAGCTGATTTTCGCGCCGATGCGAGTGACGCTATCCAAATAATAATAATATCCGTAATAGTAATCATAATAATGTTAATATTTAACATATAATATAAATAATTTGCATTTACACGTTAAGAGATTAAATAAAATAATGAAAATATTGGAATTAAAATATAAAGTTTATAAATCTATATAACTTACAACAATGCTTGCCGATAATTGTTTTCTTATTTGGTTGGTCTTTAAAATAAGCCTGTGTTTATATTGTTATTTGACTTACAACAATATTTTATCACTGTTATGTCAAATATTGATCATAACTTCTTATCCAGATCAGCTCGATTTTCAATAAGCAAACTGATATTTTTTGTGTTAGGCCACCAACAAATGAAGCCATTATTTTCATCATTTTGATAAATCCAATTTATTGGAATCTCTGAAAAGGATTCATCAACTGAGAATTGCACAACTGCGTACAATTTTTGTTCGGACATTTTCTTTGCAAAAAAGAAAAATTATATAAACAAGGTGTCTCATAATTCGCACACTACTCGTAACGTTCAGATTAAATCTAGAAAAATCATCTCGTTTTGCTATTTTTAATAATTAACAATTAATTTTAAAAAAACCTTGTATCAGAATAAGGTCTCTTATATAGCAGAAGGTCTCTTCTCGCTGCGCGCTTCGCACGGATTCGCCAATCTTTTTAAATTAATTTTTCGTTAATTATTGCGAAAATAGCAGAACGGATGATTTTTCTCGATTTAACTTACTCTACCTGAACGTTACGAGTGGAAATTATGGGACACTCTGTATATATATTTTACTCGTACACAGTGGTAATGTCTCAGCACAATATGTTTATCATAAATTTTCGCAGAAAACCATAAATTTTTTATAATACAAGTTCGTAATTGTCAAATATTTTATATAGTTAAAAATAAACTTTAAAGTTATAACAATTTACAGAAAGAAGCTATTAAATAATAAAATACTATGAAACTGGATAATTATTTTATAATAAACAGAAATAGAACAAATATAGAAATAAAAATAAGTAATAGTAACAAAAATAAGTTATAATCTCATTAATAATCTCAGTTATAGATATAATATGACACTATATGGAGTAGTGGAAGTGCACCGAATGGTAGATCCTTGGAAATGACACCTCTTATCTCTCTTACTCTACTCTTCTCGCCTTCAAGCGGTAGTGCTGTTAACTCTCGTATGAGCCAGGGAATAACTCCCTGGGAAGTACGAGAGAACAAAAGAGAAGGGAAGTGACTCTCCAGGTTGGGGGTTGGGCGTGGGACTAACAACCCCACCCTAGAAAAAATTTTTGTTACGAAACCCTCAAGAAAGCCTCGAAAAGACAGTTTTGATGATGATGGACATGACAGAAATTCAAGGACTCGCAAACGGAAAACAACACTGAACCTGGCCACGTGGAATGTAAGGATTGTGTTACAGGTAGGAAAAATGACAGAAGTTGCCCAAGAAGTGCTGAAATATAGAATGGATGTTGTGGCATTGCAAGAAATGAGATGGAGTGGTAACAGAAGAATAGACAAAAGGAAATACTCCATATTTTACAGTGGACCGGATACAAGAACTGGGCAATGTGGGTTTTATTATCAACTCTAAAATGAAACAAAGTTAACTGGGATTTGAACCACTGAGAGATAGGATGTGTAAAATAAAGCTAAAAGGTCGTTTCAGGAATCTATCTATTATATCGACCTATGCACCTACGGAAGAAGCTAGTGATGATGAAAAGATTACATTTTATGACAGACTTCATAGAGAACGTAGTAAGATACCTAGATATGATATGTTGATTCTCCTTGGAGATTTCAATGCAAAAATAGGTAGAGAAGATTTTTTACAACATGTAGCCGGCAAGCACTCCTTATACGCTAACATAAACACAAACGGCAAGATGCTAAGAGTTAATTAGCAGAAAGTAATGAGTTGATAATTAAAAGCACCTGTTTTGAGAAAAAAAACATATAAAGGAACATGGAAAATGCTGGGTACCGGAGTGATTAATCAGATCAATCATGTTCTGATATCTAGAAGACAGGCATCGTTGATTATCGATGTAGGATGTGCAAGAGGACCAAACTGCGATTCAGACCATTACGTAGTGAGAGCTAAATTTAAAGAAAGGATGGCGAGAGCAGAATGTGCCCAAGGGCCCAGAAAACATTGGAACGTAGAAAAGTTACGACAACCAGAGATTCTTAACCAATATCACTGAGTAGAAAATTGAATGAAGATTAGGAGGACATATAAGAAAACGAAACAGTAGATAAAAAGTGGAACTAAATTGAGAAGGCTATAGAGGAAACTGCAACAGAAGCAGTGGAGGAGAAGAAAAGAGTGAGAAATGAAGAATGATTCGATGCAGAGCAAGGATCGACAAGAAAAATACAGACAGAAGCATGATTCAAAGAGAGACAAGACAGAGCTCTGAAAGATATAAGGAAAGTAGAAGACAAGCAAACAAGATTCTGCGAGAGAAGAAAAAAGCATACTTAAAAAGATGTATTGAGAAAATAGAGGAAATAAACACACAAAATGAAAACAAAAGACTATATCAAGCAACTAAACAAATGACAAAAGGATTTCAATCAAGAACAAGCTTATGTAAGGACAAAAAAGGAAGGCTGATCATGACAGATGAAGAGGTCCTGAAAAGATGAGCGGAATATTTTGCAGAATTATTAAATGTCGATGAAAAAGGAGAAGGGAACAAAGGAACAACAAGTATGAATATAAATATGAATGTGAATATGAATATGAATATGAATGTAAATCCAGAAGATAACAAACCGTTACTAGAAGATAACAAACCGTTATTAAAAGAAGCAATCAAACGTCAACGAAATAGTAGTCCTAAAGGGGGTCACAAAGGCTGGCCTGGCTGGGACATGTAGAGAGAATGAACGAGGAGAGAATTCCCAAAAAACTCGTATACGAATGCGACGGGGAGGAGAAGACGCGGAAGACCGAGAAAGACATGGAAGAGGGATGTGGAGAAGAATTTGAGGACTATGAGGATTGCTGGCGAGAGAGAGCGCAGAGCAAGGAGGAATGGAGAGACATTGCGAGGGAGGCCAAAGCCACCTGGGACTGTAAAGCCGTGGAACGAACGAACGAACAGATATAATATCCAAAACATTTATTCAATTTGAGCTAAAACCAGGCATACACAGCAACATATTAAAATCAAATTGAAAAAGCTGCAGATTATTCTTTAAAAAAATACACTTGCCTTTAACTTGGTAAAACCTATTAGAAAGAACATAAAACCATTGCAAAATAAGAATAAAAATCAAAATAAGAATAATTATGTGCATGCATATAAAAGTGGAATTATAACAAATGTGTCTTGCAACTCAAGATGTTTTAATTTCAAACATTTTGTTTTTATGTTCGTTGCTGGCAATTTTTCAATGTTAAAAGGACTTGTTTCCGTAAAAATTTGTATACCTAGTAGTTCCTTAAAATCACATGGAATGCTAAAAAAATGGTTCGGTAATTAAAATTCGCTTTACATTTATGTATGGAATATCATTACTATCGACAATTATCTCTAAAATAAATGCGAAAGAATTGTCATTTAACAAACAACAGTTTTCATTTTCTTTTGTAAAAATAGTGAAGCCATTGAACTCTAAATGAGATATAACATTAGTGTTTTGAAGTGTTTTTTTAAAATGAACAATAGGATATGACTTTAAATAATATTTTTCAGATGGAAGTTGGTTTAATTCGAAAATTCGATTAGAATATTCCTCTAATGGTTTGCCACAATTTTTTATTAGCTTTTTAATTTTTTGCATGTGATCAAATTTAAAACAACTGAAAGCGTCTAAACACCCAAGAATTTTAACATCATTTGCAAGATATTCTAAATTATGAACATTATGTGAAAGATACTCGAGTCCAAAAGTATTTCTATAGTGAAATAAACCAGGTTATCAAGGAATGTGCAAAATCGTTAAGAACTAAACATCTTTTTGGATCTGCGAATATACGAATAGCTATACTTAATGATAAAAAATGATTGTAATAGTCTTTAGACAAAAATGGCTTTAACAAAACTAAACCTACAGCAAAAAAAGGCGAACTTCCGTAGCTTTCTAACTATCAATATATAATAAACTTCTTGGCATTCTTGCAAATTCTGTAGTTATAAATTTTCTTGTGTCGAGTAGATGTTTATTAATGAAATCAATTGCAGCATTAAATAATCTTATACCTTTCTTACCCCTGACAAAATTATAATAACCGTCTCGATCCTAAACAAACAAGATGCATGTAATCCAAAGGAATTTGTGAAATCATATCTATAGGAAGATTTTCTAGAATTGAATCACCCTTTATGATGCTCATCTTGACTACGAGTACGAAATGATTCGTTTGTTCTTAATGTACAATTAATTTCCGGAAAGACAACTTGATTACATACAAAATCACCTTCTTGCAAGCATTTTGAACATGAAAAATAACCTGCGTAACCTTTAGTACATGTGATTAATGATTTTGCAGGAGTATCGCATAATATTGCATTTAATGTGATTTTACAATGGAAATCATTATCTAATAATACACCTTCTTGAAGAACAATTTGTGCTTCATTAACAAAAGGACGAAGAAAATCATTTACATTATTCAGTTTTGACATTCCGTGAAATACGTCAACTGCGAAAGGTTCGGTATAAAGATCGATAATTTCAATTGATGCAAGAATAGGCCAAAATTGGCTACCTGAGCTTTTACTTAAAGGTAAGCCATCGATATTAATATTTATTTTTACTTCACGAGGCATAATTCTACAATATTTTGATATGGAGCGTTTTATTCCCGAAGCTAATCCAAAATGACTGTATCTGCCACCACTAACAGAAGATATATTTCGGAAAGTATTACGTGGTGTTTTCATTAAAGTTCTACACGTTTCAGGTAAATTACTATGACCATGTTTCTTCAGAATTAGAAAAAGTTTATCTATAGTACCTTGAGGAATACAACATTCTGCAACTAAGATTTGCAAATCTTCTTGTAAACTTAAATTTTGTACATCTTGTACCGAGATTTCATTATTAAAATCGATTGATTTGATAAAAAAATTAGATAATGAAGAATTATCTTGATCTGATGCAATAGGAATATCGAAAGTATTAGATGTTGAAGAACTATAATTATTCATTGATAGATTTGGGATATTATTAGATTCGGATGAATCGAAAATGTTATTACTAAGAAGGGTATTAATTTCATTTGAAAATGTCGTACTCTCTGAATTAGAGTTACAGATCATTTCTACATTAGAATTAGTTTTAAAATGTTTTTTGGGAATATTTGATGTAGTTGTAGTTTTATATAATTGTGACATATGAAATGAAATTAATTGATTTTTACGTCTTTTTGATAAATGGTGATATGTTTTCGGTATATTAATAATTTATCGATTATTCAAATTAGAAGAAATAATTATAAAAAATTAAGTTTTAGTTGTTAGCAAGATAATAACAAAATATTAGGAAAAATAACCGAAGTATTAGTATTTGAAAAATAAAATTTAGATAGAAAGAATATGAAAATGTATGTAAACAGACAAATATATAAAAAATGAGTATGGAAACATTTAAAAAAACAGTAAATTAAATACAACTTGAAAAATACTAATTATAAGAACTAAAATCATATGCAAGTATCAATAATGAAATAAAATAAGTAATAACTTTATATACAAATCAATTAATTTGAAACAAAATAAATAGATAATAAAATGAGGTATATACAAACTAAAATGAGCTCTCTTAAAATGAGCAACTTTAAAAAGTTAGTATACACTTGACAATGACCTATTATATGATAAATATTAAAACCAAATAAAAATGTTTATATCTCGATGCTTCGAGAAAATTTTATAAATGATCAATAAAATATTATTTTACGGATTGAATCTAATGTTAGTATAAAACATATACGAATATTGATAATTATAAAATAAAACAATAATATATATATATATATATATATATATATATATATATATATAAAGTTATTTGAAGCAAGTGAACTGAAAACGTACTACAGAAAATATCGATTAAATGCAACAAATAATCAATTGATATAACAAAATGCAAATGAACAATATGTTGAGTAATTGAGAAATTAAATAAAAACTATTCAAAATTTAATATTATTTTATTACTATAAAATATTACTGTAAAAACTCTATTAAATAAAATATATCAAATCTATTCGTTGATAATAAAACAAACTAAAAGAAAAAGAAAACTTTGCTAATTAAATTAAAAATGAGTAACAACGTAAATATTTATTTTGTATGAAGAAAATTTGCGAAAATTAACTAGCACATCTATTATAACCCATAAAAGTCTGCAATATTATGTTGTTTTCAATTAATAAATAATATTTATACTTCCCGGCTTTCTCAATATTGTGATGAAAATCAAAACTCCATACAGCATTCCACAATAATTCTGTACTTATGATAAACAAACCTATGGATGATGGACCTATGGATGGATAATAGCTCAAGCTTGAGACAATGTGGCAATCGATTATTACTTTTGTCTTTGAATTTCTGGAATCTTTTATAGGAGAGTTTAGTCTTTCTATAAGAAAAAGCATAGGATTGGCGAACATTAGTTACATATATATATATAAAAAACATCTTTTGATAAACACTTTAAATATACTTACAATCTTTGGCTTGTGTAAAGCGTTCTACAAAATTATTGTCTGTACAATTATTATCTTTGTCAAACAATTTGTTGCAGAGTTTTTAAGATCAAAAATCCATATAGTGCATTCAACACTCCATAATATAATTGTGTACTTAATGGAAGAAGAGTAAAAACGGAAACCTCTGAACTAGTTCGCACTAGTTTTTGCTTCGAAAATGAACAAATCTATTTTCTGTAAGAAAAAGTGCAAGAATGGAGAACATCAGTTATATCGATATATATACAACGCAGTCAGAGTCTTTTGATAAACACTTTAAATATACTTACCAGTCTTGATCACCTTTGGAACACGAAGGCACAGCACAATGCGTATTAGGGTATGCGTATACAAGAGTTTAGTCTTTCTATAAGAAAAAGCATAGGAATGGCAAACATTAGTTACACACACACACACACACACACACACACATATATATATATATATACAGGGTCTACCAAAAGTGTGGAAACCCCTAAATATCTCGGAAAATATACGTTTTACAGAAAAGTGTTTCCAACAAAAGTTGTAGGGTTTAAGAAGATCTATATACTGATTCTATCAGTTTGACCTTGGATGGCGTCGTCAAGGTCAGGTCAAGGTCACATTGACTTTTTTAAATGACACCCCCTACATTTGATTGCATATTCTTATAGCTTAATTCAAGAGCTTTCCAAAACACTATAATAATGTTCATTTTTATTAAGTACTTTGCGAGTTATGAGGGTTGAATGATAGAGTAGCGCCGGTATTAACATTATCCAAGGTGTACTACATGGAGGTTACTCGCTCGGATTTGCATCTGTTGTGTGTGTGATCCAGCTAACTAAGGCAAGATCGATTCCTCAACATATCCTCATATTTCGCTGAAGTCAAATTGCCAAAAAATTGCTCCATAAAACGTGTATGAAACGTCTCGTTAGTTCCTTCATTTACCGCTATGTGACGCACTACATGCAGTCTAACTCGCATTTAAAATTCAACTAAGAATGTATAAAGCTATCAAAGAACGAGCACCTTCTAACTTCAGCTTTGAGCAAGCAGAAATTAATTGTTATCGTCCAAATACAACGTACGATTAATTAAAATTAAACGTTTTAAAAATGGCTGGCGACTTGTCGGAACGTGAAAGAATCACTATCCTCATGATGCGTGGATGGGGTGATAACGAAAGATCGTTCTCTGATGTCGTTCGATTATTTAATGACACGTATCCGAACCGTCGAATTAATAAGTCCACTGTGTTAAAAACAATAGAACGTTTTAGACAAACTGGTAGCGTAAGAAATCGCTCTAAGTCAGGAAGACCATTGTCTGCAACCAACGAAGAAAAACAACTTGATGTTCTGCAGACATTTATTGAAGATCCCAATTCTAGTGTTCAGAGAGTCGCTCAAACTCACGATATTGCTCCCATGTCGGTTTGGAGAATTTTAAAGAAGAACAAGTTCCATCCATATAAATTGCAATACGTTCAAGAATTGCAAAACGGAGATGAGGAGCGTCGTATACATTTCTGTGAAAGAATGATGGCACTAATAGATGTCCGGCCCATCTTCCCTTATCAAATTGTTTTCACAGACGAGGCAACTTTTACCTTAACGGGAGAAGTTAATAATCAAAATTTTCGTTTCTGGTCAGATGAGAATCCGAATTGGGTGCGGGAAACTCACACACAACATCCACAAAAAATAAATGTATGGTGCGGAATAATAGATGGCTATTTAATAGGGCCGTTTTTTTTTGAAGAATATTTGAACGCTCAAAGGTATGAGAGATTACTTGTTGATCAAATAATTCCAGCCATACAGAATACTTTTCCAAATAATTTCCAAGAAATATGGTTTCAGCATGATGGAGCTCCTGCTCATTTTGGTGCAGGACCACGTCGTATTTTAAATGAGACTTTTCCGCTACGGTGGATAGGAAGAAGGAACGGAAATGAGGGAGGAGAGGATTGGCCACCTCGGTCACCAGATCTAACTCCTCTTGATTATTATCTATGGGGATATCTGAAGAGTAAGGTTTACAGAACAAAACCTAAAACCATTCACGAATTGATACAGCGAATAAGGGATGAAATGGCTTTGATACCTTTTGAAACGAATCGTAAAGTCATTTCTACATTCTACCAAAGATTAGCATATTGTCAGGAAGTAAATGGCAGCCACTTTCAGCATTTACTTTAACACATTGAAACACATTTGCAATCGTTTGGTGCAACCTAACCTGATCTCTGTATACACGCACCGCACGCACGCACACGCACACATTTCGAACAATTATTATGATAAATGAGCATCCACAAATTTATTTACTGTTTACTATGTCGATTGCTTTCCAGGTCTTTAAATGCTCGATTGTAATTTGGTTGGGTCTTTGCTTTTGCTGACTGGATCCACGACCGATCTTGCCTTAGTTAGCTGGATCACACACACAACAGATGCAAATCCGAGCGAGTAACCTCCATGTAGTACACCTTGGATAATGTTAATACCGGCGCTACTCTATCATTCAACCCTCATAACTCGCAAAGTACTTAATAAAAATGAACATTATTATAGTGTTTTGGAAAGCTCTTGAATTAAGCTATAAGAATATGCAATCAAATGTAGGGGGTGTCATTTAAAAAAGTCAATGTGACCTTGACCTGACCTTGACGACGCCATCCAAGGTCAAACTGATAGAATCAGTATATAGATCTTCTTAAACCCTACAACTTTTGTTGGAAACACTTTTCCGTAAAACGTATATTTTCCGAGATATTTAGGGGTTTCCACACTTTTGGTAGACCCTGTATATATATATATATATATATATACATATAACATCTTTTGATAAACACTTTAAATATACTTACAATCTTTGACTTGTGTAAAGCGTTCTACAAAATCATTGTCTGTACAATTATTATCTGTACAATTATTATCTTTGTCAAACAATTTGTTGCAGAGTTATTAAGATCAAAAATCCATACAGCGCATTCAACACTCCATAATATAATTGTGTACTTAAAGAAGAAGAGAAAAGATAACCTCTGAACTAGTGCGCACTAGTTTTTGCTTCGAAAATGAACAAATCTATTTTGTGTAAGAAAAAGTGCAAAAATGGAGAACATCAGTTATCGATATATATACAACGCAGTCAGAGTTTTTTGATAAACACTTTAAATATACTTACCAGTCTTAATCACCTTTGGAACACGAAGGCACAGCACAATGCGTATTGCGTTATTGCGTACTTTTTGCCCGCTTTCCCGTCAACAATAATTCAACCCTGAATCGCATCTTATCTAGATAGGCAATCACGCGTTACCGCGATGTCAGCGCTATTTCAACACTGGTTGTTGCGATATTATGCGCTTGGGAGGACGCGGGAAAAGCCGTGCGTATATAAAAAGTCATGGAATTTAGCAGCATTGCACAAAATACGCAAATGAAGAAATATATATAACTATCTACGCATACATTATATAACAATAGTTAACAGATAATATGTAAAGGGTACCCTCGGTTAACAATGGTGAAATGCCCTCAATTTTTTTTTTTTTTTTTTTTTTGGTAAAAATGTCTTTCTTGGGCCTCAAAATGAAGGGTCAACCAGGTCCTAGGTCCCAAAAATTTTTTTGGGCCTTATAGGGCCCAAAAACATCGTTTTTTGCGTTTTATTTTTTTTCTCGCGTTCTAATCATCGGAAAAATCTGAAAAAATTCATGAGTATATATCTTTTGATTACTTTTTTGTGAAATTTTTTTGGAAAAAATTGGAGTCCAACATAATCTCGAAAAAAATTATTTAATATTTTAAACGCGATTTTGACCAGCTTCCAGTTTTGGAACGGTCAGAATTCTTTTTTTCTCTTGTAGAACGGAAAAAAATACGTCGAAAATGTATTTTTTCAGATTTTTTCTAGTGGTGCGCCATGTCGAAAAATAATAAAAACCAATAAATCGTCGATTTTTCGACGTTAAGGCATCATTCCCCAAACAGTTATTTGTTTTTATCATTTTCTGATCATCGAAAAAAGTTTAAAAAATTCATGAGTACTCTAGAAGTTATACTATTTGAATAGAATTTTTTTGAAAACGATTTAGGGACAACATAATCTCGAAAAAAAATTTAATGTTTCTAACGCAATTTTGACTATGTTCCGGTTTTAAAACGTCAGAATCATTTTTTCTTTGTTTGGATCAGAAAATAATACATTATACACACACAAAAATGACACACATGATTCGACGATAGGTCAATGTACATTACACATGGAGACTCTAATGGCATTACCTATCCAAACATCATTCAAGGCAAAGGTAGCGTACATCAGTAGCGTACCTTCCCGGTAAGAAAAAGGTTTCTGGTTCGACACCACGTCGAGGTTATTTTTTTTGTCTTGTCAAATGATTTTTTTGACTATTCGAATTTTATTGAATTCAATTTTTATTAAATAAGGATTATTAAAAAAAGATTTTTTACGTATGCAGGCTTTGCCCTGTACGTTGACTAATGTTTAGATAGGTAATGCCATTAGAATCTTAAAAATGTATTTTTTTGGATTTTTTCTAGTAGTACGCCATGTTGAAAAATAAAAAAAAAACCATAAATCGTCCATTTTTCATGGACTTCCACACTACCCTTGAGGTCCCATGAATAGCGCGTTAAATTTTTTTTACAGTGAATCTTCGCCATTAGCCCTATAAACACTGTTCCGCTTTGAAAGCTGTTTGTCATTGAGCTTCTTGTTATATTGTATGAGATAATCTTTTTCCAATATTAATACTTTCAGAACACTGAATAGAGCAATGTCATTTTACCAGTAGTTAATAATTATTTTATCTCATCCAATCCGTCTTTTTTAGATAGGCTGCAATAATTTAATAATAGTTAATAATTACATTACTTTTAACAAAATAATGCATGCTTCATTGCTGAGTAAATTGTATTGTATTATACGTACGTATTTTGTTGTTGGTCATCCTTAATCTTCATCACTATCTTCATCGATAACGGGACATATATTATCAATGTCAAAAAGGTTTGTTAGCACATGTGCAGGTCGAATTACATCAGATAAATATCTGCCATTAGATAAATGGTACAAAAGTGCTGCAACGTGTGAGCAACTACCAATTGTTCGTAGACCATTTGCACAATTGCAACAGTAACCTTTATTGGAATTTATCCCATTACCATTAGGAACGTAATGAATATAACATTTATACGTTCTGCTGTTAATATGCCTTGATTTTACTTTAAACCTCACAATACCCGCTAAACAATATTCTGTTGCAAAAACGTTTTTGTAACATTGTAGCACGTACATATATATCAGTATATATGTACAGTAAAATTAAGTTAAAATATTCAATTATGTTAAAAGTATTTTCGGCCGCACAATTCTCTGAGTATCGACATCATACAAGTTATTTACATTTTTTCAATCTTTTTTAATTTACATGTCTAATTGAATATACGATGCAATTATATTTTAATTGTATAAATAAGTAAGTGGGGAATGTACACTATCCGTCAATGATTCGTTCCCATTCCTGCTAGGAAATAAAGACGACGCTATAGATAAATTATAAAAAATCTATAGCGCCGTCTCTATTTCCTAGGGGGGCGAATCATTGACGGGTAGTGTATATACTATTACCAGTTGTTTTTTTCCATCTTCATCATTCTTCAATGAAGTGTCATACTGCAGCAATTTTCGGTGCTTTTTAAATGGTTTTGTAGGGATAGTCGAAAAATTATTATGTCTTGCACCTGCTGCTGCAAATATTACTGATTCGTCGTTTTTTTGTTTAATTGCTCAACAAATTCATTTTGTTGTCTTAATAGCTTTTTAATCTCTATCGTGTTCTCTAAAATCTTAATTATATTCTGGCTATCTGTAAAATTACAATTAAATATTATTACATACTTTTATTGTTATTATTGTTGCTGTTGTATTTTTGTGTAGTTGTTGTAAGTAATGAATATATAATATCATAAATATTGATACCTGATGGAAATCTTCAAAATTACGTTTCCTGCGAATAAGTTATTTCTTATCGGAATTGATTACGTTTCCTGCGAATAAATTATTTCTTATCGGAATTGGAGATGCGTTTCCAGTAATATTTTGCGGACCTAAATCTGTTGAATTAAAATATTTATGTTATAAATGTACTTCGGAAAGTAAATCTTGATATATTAAAATATATTTTTATTATCGTAGATTACTACGACCAATAAATCGTGTATTGAATGTTAAATATACATATATATACGTTCAATACTCCGTTGTATTCAAGATCTACAGTATTTTTTATTATTGTACGATTCATAACCCCTATTCATCTTGATCTATTGATTTTCTTTATTATCGTTATTGTTGATCTAAATAAATATGAAATTAATGTATCAGAAAAACATTATATTTATTTATACTTATATATTTTTTTTTTTTTTTTTTTTTTTTGCTGCAGATTTTTGTGTTGTAACTTCACTTGATTGTCTACGTTCGATTGCAGGATCTGAAAGATAAATATTTAGCAAAAAGACTCATCTAATCGTTGCAAAATATTCACTTCTGTATTCACTTGTAAGACTGAATAGAGGCTATTTATGTATTACGTAAACGTATTTTTAACCAACACTTAACAAAATTAGAATTACTTGATTACAAAAAATATAATATTTATATTATTTTTATTTCATATAGGAATTTATATTATACATTTTTACTTTCTTATTTATATATTTAAAAAATTTAACTTACTATTTTTAAAACCGTAATATGTTACAAGAAATAACAGTGTGTATTAATTCTTATTACTTTTCGCTCAATCATCTCTGCTTATGCAGATCAAAATGGAATGATTGAAACTCGTGATTCGCGAACAATTTTAAAGATCAAATTTCTAAAATTAAGTTACAGGTGTTTAGATAATGTCGATTTTTTAAATTTTTGTTAAATACTTTTATTTTTTAAGTACTTTAAAGTGTCTACAAATTTGTAATGGCTTATGTTTGCATCATTACATAGCCAGAAGTGTTGGAAAAAATTGTGAAGTGAAAATGTATAAAATTGTGCATAGTTAGCCGGAATCGATATTCGTGGTTATAAACGGCATATTTTCATTTTTCTAGATGTTTTCAGTGGTTTAAAAATTCAAAATTGTTTGTGACTATATACAGGGTGTTTCATTTTAATCTAGCCAGGCGAATATTTCCAACGCTGTTGAGTTTAGAGAAAAATGTTTCAAACAAAAGTTGTAGGGTTCGAAGGGGCACATAAGATGATACTATTGGTTTGACTTTGAAGAGTTATTTGAAGATCACATGAAGATCACTTTCAATTTCTTAAACGGAATCTACATTTTCTTATTACATATTCTTGTAGCTTATCTCGAGAGCTTTCCAAAACATTATAATAAAATATTTTTTTATTGAGTACTTTTCGAGTTATGAGGCTTAAAATCATTTCTTAATTTTACACAAACCATAAAATATCTAGTAAAATATTCATTTTTTGATTATCTTACCTTAATGCTTTCATGTAGAAAATAATGAGAGAAATCAATTGGTGTAAAGAAAACATACAGTTGTTTTTAAGAAAAAATATGTAATTGTTAATTGCAAATTACATATTTTTTCTTAAAAACAACTGTATGTTTTCTTTACACTAATTGATTCCTCTCATTAATTTCTACATAAAAGCATTAAGGTAAGATAATCAAAAAATGAATATTTTACTAGATATTTTATGGTTTATGTAAAATTAAGAAATGATTTCAAGCCTCATAACTCGAAAAGTACTCAATAAAAAAATTGTTTATTATAGTGTTTTGGAAAGCTCTCGAGATAAGCTACAAGAATATGTAATGAGAAAATGTAGGTTCCATTTAAGAAATTGAAAGTGACCTTCATGTGATCTTCAAATAACTCTTCAAAGTCAAACCAATGGTGCCATCTTATGTCCCCCTTCGAACCCTATAACTTTTGTCTGAAACATTTTTCTCTAAACTCAACAGCGTTGGAAATATTCGCCTGGTTAGATTAAAATGAAACACCCTGTATTATGGCATGGTAAAGTGTGTCTATATAATAAAATGTGCAAATAAAAAATATGAAAAATCCTGACTGTATCCCTTGGGAGCGTCCGAAATGGCCACGGGTAAATTTGACCACGTTCGAAATGGCCACGTTCGAAACGGCCACGCGTTCGAAACGGCCACACAACTTTTCACGCGAAGCGAGGGGGACGGGGTGGGTGCGGGAGGGATGCCGAAGGCTCCCCTTGCACCCCCCCCCCGTGTGTGTGTGTGTGTGTGTGTGTGTGTGCGTGTGTGTGTGTGTGTGGTGTGTGTGTGTGTGTGTGTGAGTGCGTGTGTAAGGGGATAGTGCTTCCAACATTCCGTGGCCATTCCGAACGTGGCCGTTTCGAACGTGGCCATTTCGAACGTGGTCAAATTTACCCGTGGCCATTTCGAACGTGGTCAAATTATATCCACTCGTATCCCTTTACAAATTAAAATTAAATTCCTGAATTCAGTTCTATTGGTAACGTAATGCACTACTTAATTTAGTTCTATTAATAATGCACTACTAACGTACCAAATACGGTAGACAGCATCGGAGGTGGTGTCATTCTATGATTTTGGGAATTATCGCTGAAGTCGCTCGTGTAATCATTTTGGCTCTTCTTTTTTACTCTCCTTTTGCTTCGGCCAGTTTCTGGCACTGACGTATCTGTATCAGTTTTTGTTTTTCTTTTTGCGAAATCTACGGCAGTCTGATATTCATCTGTCAATTAAAATTATTCATATATATATATATATATGTATATACATATCGTTACATATATTTACAAGTATTTTGAAATAAAAATAGTAATATTAATTACAATAAAGATTACCAGTTTGGAAAAAGATGTTTCTTATATTCCAAGTTTCCCAAGAACTTAATGGGGCTGTTCGTTTGTTGATTGCCCTGCGGATGTTTTTCCCAGGCCATTTGCATGTAATTTCGTTGTTTAAAATTGTTACCCATGTTGTCGGGACGACTTCTACTGCAGTCGATTCTTCGAAATTCTCCGCAAATTCGACTACAGACCAAATAAACTGAAATAACACAAATTTTATTTGTAATAAAAATAAATAAAAATATCAGAATAAGTAAATGCAAAATGTGAAAGTACCTTCTTATTGTATACCATATAATTATATTAACTCAATTTTATATTAAAATTTATATTTAAATTCAAAGTATAATTTATTTACTGGTTTTATATTGATGTATTATATATTAATTAAAATTAAATGGCAGAGATTCTTTGTGTAATTATTAATTAATTATTAAATATTATTATTAATTACTGTTATTAAATATTACTACTATTAAATATTTGTTATTATTGTGTATGAATTAATGGCATAATTATAAACTATTTTCGTGCGGAAATTTTACACATTTTGCTTAAATTTCGTTAATATTAACAGTATACGTATCTTCAGAAATATTTTGTACCTGTTCTACATTAAATAGTTCAGAAGAACAGGGTGACTTAAAAAACGTTGTTGATTCTGTAAACTTTCTTCCCGTTATGAACATTTCCAGTGTGTTAGTGTTTTGGAAAATACCGTCTACGCATAGTACAGACTTGTCTCTAAGCATGACGCAATTTTCTTTATTTTCTGTGCTGAATTCATACTTTCCAATATCCACTTTTTTGTAGAATATACATCTTTCCTTATCAATAATTTGCACTTTACTTTGTTGATGTAAAATCGGATAAGTCTTGTCGTCCTGTTTCTTTTTCTGCTCTTCTTCCTTTAGTCTGTTACAAATTTATTGTAAGGGGTGTTTTGTTGTTTTAATTTTTCGTTTTATTTCGTACAGAAAATTTTCATATTTGAAACAACTAAATGTATCAAGTGGACCGTGCAACAAGCAGTCTGCAGGTAAATGAATGAGGCCGTGTACGTTGTGATTGATGAACTCAGGACCATAAAGAACTGAATATTTTTGAACAAAATACTGAATAAGTTGCAAAGCATAATCATTATAAACTGAATATAATGCAGGACTACATAAAATGCGAATAGCGCATGATAATGTCATAAAATGTGTATACATATTCTTGTTTCTCATATTTTGTAAAACGATCGGTCCAATGTACAACAACAATTGTCTTAGTTCAGCAGCTTTAAAGTACTCTATGTCATCTAAGCTTCTTGGTAAGCGGCCAAAATCTTTAGGTACATAATTCTTTAAAAATAATATTTGATCGTTAATGGCTTTTTTCTCATCGTCAGTGAAGCGAATGTTTTTTGGTCCTCGTACCCAAAACGTTATCAGTTTTTTCATTACACCGAGAAATACCAGATGCATACCATCAAGGGGTATTTGCGAAACTAACCCGATGTTAATATTTTCAAGAGGAGTTGTACCTTTATGAAATTCATCATCTAATTTGTTTTTAAAACTTGCATCAGTTCGTAAGTCTACATTGATATCTGGGAAAGCTAGTCGGTTATTAATAAAGGTACCACTTTGAGTACATTTTGTGCAACTGTAATATCCCGTGTGACCTTTCGTACATAAAACGAATGATTTAGCAGGAGCATCGCAAAGTAATTTACTGGCCTTTATTTTAACAGTTTTATTGCATATGTTAAATCCATTATCTTGCAAATGTTTAAATTCTGTAACAAATTCACTTAAAAATTGATTAACATCAGCTGGTTTTGTGTGCCCGTGGTAAATTCCAGCTACAAAAGGTTTTGACGCATTTTGACTAACTGAATCTACATCTAGAGAAATCAAAATTGGCCAAAATTGACTTTTTGAACTGTTTGAAATAGGTAATCCGTCTATGTTTATACTAATAGGTAACACTGGTTCTGAATTTTGAAATAAGAAATTGTGCATATTAATACTGTCATTGATGAGTCTACGAATTGTATTCTCTATACCGATGTGACAGTAGAAACCGGGGGGCATATTAATTATTTCATAGGGGCACGAATTTGGTGTTTTTAAAAGAATACGCGAGTCTGCAGGAAACTTTGGATATGGCACTCGTAAAATTTGCAACATATCGTTAATGGCCCGTTGGCTTAATAAATGTCTATATTTCAGAACCCATTGTTTAGTGGCATCAAGTGCAAACTCTTCAGTCACAGATGAAACTTTATCGTCAAATTCTATGTTACATTTATGTAATTGAAAATCATCATCGACGAGCGTTTCAATATATCTTATAGATTCTTCCTCATCTATTTCTGTTGGAAATGCTGCAGTACACTGATTTTCGGTATGTGCAAATTGTTCAATATTTATTTCATTTTTATTTCCTTTTTGCGTTGCTGACTGGAATGCAGTTTTAGTTTGTGATTTATCATTTATTTTAATTAATTTGTGATTTACCAACAAAGTTTCTAATAATTCTTTTCTGACTATTCGACGCATATGTCTTTTGGACACAAAACATTTATTTATTTTTCCCATATTTTTTTCTACTAATTCGCTCGCGCGAGTGTGCACTTGGAACAATAAGTTTTCTAAAACGTTAAATATTAATTATTTTTAGGTTAGTATAGGTTATAAATAAGTTTGTTACTTACCTCATGTAGCTGATGCTGATTCCCCTTAGCAACAGGAGTCTGAGTGTGCGATGTCATAGATCTTTTTTGTAAGAAATATACGCTTATCCGGGCGTTAATTATGCAGGAAGCGTCCTTGCGGGAGGGCAATATAATGTCAGAATTATTGCGTTTTTGACGACCGAATCCAACCCAGGTTAGCCAGGTTTTGAATTCGATCACGTCGAAAACGCTATTATATACTTGAAAACTTTATTAATGCACAAACCAACCGGCACACAATTAATTATACGAGAAGATTGTAACACAACACGTTTGCACACTACGCGGCAAGACCCCCCGACTGCTCGATACACGCGCCTTGTCGCAACTCAAGCGACCAATCATAACGCGCGAAACAAGAAAGCAAAACGGTGAGTGGCAACCGCTTGTAGCGCGCGACATTTGCCGCGTTCATCAGTATGTTCCTTTACTTTCTGATACGCGGAGGCCGCCAGTGGTCGCAATCAAACAATTATAATAATAGGAGTAATATTTTGAGACTTATTTGTTGCAAAATTGCAATTTGTTAAAAAGTTATGACCATTTATCAACGATAAATTGCGAGTTGACTTTACGAGGCTGCAAAATTAAATCTTTTAATAATGTCGCATTTATAACGTTAATGCGAAATGAAATGTTTTTCAAAGTTTACGTTTTGAATGAAACGTTTAAAGTACGTAGCGAAATGAATGTTTTAGAAACATAGTAAATGCTAGCATTGAAGCAACGTTTATAAAGTTGCAAAGAAAACGTTTCATACGAAATGTTACTTGAACTTTACAAAATATTTCATTTGTGACGTTCCGAATTGACAAATTAAATGCGGAAAAGCAACGTTTCTGGTACGTTCTACGAACTGACACTAATAAAACGTTAATTTCAGACGTTTACGGAACTTTTTATTACCGTTACATGTAAACGTTTCAAATTTGCTTAATTACAGTCGAAATGTGACGTTACCAGAAAGTTACATGTTTAGCGGGCTATTAAATCGGAAGGATTTTCTTCGATAATTTGGACTTGTTTAGATGTTGCTTTAGGGGTAGATGTGTGTAAAGGAGTAGAAATAGATCGAATATTTTTCGGTTTACTATATCGCTCTAACGCAGTTTTATAAAGATCTTCTACTTCGTCCTTTTTGATTTTACTTCGAGTCCCGTCACTCATTCCGGTTTCCAAGATCGCACATTTCAATCCCGTACGAGCCCCCCAAAATTTCATTCAGTATGTTACGTCCAGACCCTTGAGAGGTCAGGCCATCTGGAAGAACGTAACCTACTTACCCGGTGACACACTTTCGGGCGTGTGTGGGGTCGAGGTCGAGCGCACTGTCCTGGGACAGGTCAGTGACCAGAATGGTCCCTTTAACACTGTGAGTGTCTTAGGCCGATGCACCCGTTGGTCCCTTTTCAGTAAGAGAATCTAATCTCTTTTACACGGGACGGGACCTTGTGCGATATTGGAAATAAAAATGATGAGTGTGGGAAGATGCAAATAAATTTATCCCTTTATTATAAATTAAAATTTATTCAAAATTATCATTAACGGGTTTACAAGAACATCTTTAATGTGCGAGTAGTGTGTGTGTGTGTGTGTGTGTGTGTGTGTGTGTGTGTGTGTGTGTGTGTGTGTGTGTGTGTGTGTGTGTGAATATGTAAATTCGCTGGTGTTACATTAATACGGAGGACATCAGCCAGGAATAAATAAAAGGAGTTGAGGAGGCTATATCCTGGCTGGATTTTACAATTTTCCTATTTAAACAAAAATCTAAAGGAGTATTTCAGGGAAGGAACAGAGGTCAAAGGTCATCGAACTGGATGGTGGACGGCGGAAATTTTCTTAATAGAGCTTGGATGGGAACGGCTAGAGGTAGGAGTAATCCAGGGAGATACCAGGGAATTATTGAATCAGGAGGGGCAGTACTTAGATGATGGAGGAACTCTTCGTGGTTGACTTCACCAGATCCCACGCAGAAGGATCCTTCTAGTATGGGAAAGTTGAGGAGGGGAAACTGGGATATGAAATGGTTTAGGGAGTCCACGGGAGAAGGTTCAGATGTCGGATCTGAAAAAGGGGGTTCAGAGGGGGACTCTGGGGAGGACTCAAAGTGATGGGAGGCCTCATCAAGGTCGGGAGGACATATTGCGAAATCCTCCGGATTCTCGAGAAACTCGGAGCACTCCGATGGGGTGGAAGGGGATGGAGGATTAGAGTCAAGGATAATTACAGGTATGGGAGACGGGGATCGCATTTCGATCAAAGGTGAGGGAGAAGGTTCGGGTAAAATAGGGGTAGGAGATCGTTGAGGTGATGCAGAGAATGGTGATGAAGTCGGGCCAGGGCTGTCAGGGAAGAAGGAGGAAGGCGCTGGGGAGGAGATAGGGGAGTAGGCGCAGGGATCGAGGGGGATTTGTTGAGTGAATGTGTACTGTTGTCTTTTGGCGTGTTAGCATTTAAACTAGACGAATTATTGCGTGAACTGCCAGAAATTGATTCAGTTATCGATTCAGCCAGCCCTTCCTTTAATCACCGGTTCCGCCGATTCCGCCAACGCTTAATATTAGAGCGGGATT